ATCACTAAATCAACTTCTTTAATGATTTCTCGCAGAAGCATTTATATCTTTTCAGTTATTGTAACAGAAGAAATTAGGAATGGGTTATTTTGACCCACCTGCTAGTTAAAGTAGTATAGTATTGAACAATTGGGCCACGTTTCCTCGCCTCACCCTACTTCTTTTTATGCATACGATCCATAATTTGTGTGCAACGCTGGGTGTACGTCTCAGAAAACGCCGTTTAGCGAACAGATGAGTTACCGCGGTTGTGTAACCGCGTTGATAACCAGAACGTCTGGTTGCGATACTTTTTGCCCTTACGCCGGCAACACTTGCCACGGAGATTTATTAACCCTTTCTTTCTTCCGCGCCCTGTTCTAACGCGTTAATCGATGCGATTAATCTGCTGACACAGCCCGGAAGTTTTCCTTTTTCGTAAATTCGTGCTTCATACTTTGACAAATAAATATTCATCCAACGATGAACGTTGTTCAATCTTTTATACATCGGTTTCCATGGGTTTTCAGGATAATGTAACACTCGAAGAAGGCATTCGACGCGTACTCGTCTTATCGGAATATTACACTTTCGAGTATTTTCAAAATGATTGGTTGTAGATACGATATTTGAAACCAGTTCGCGTGAATTCAATGGGAAGTGTTTTTACGCAAGATTTTTGGTAAAATGATTTATTTTTGGTACATTCGAATGATCAGATGTTTGGAGAAACCTGCGTTTGATATATTTATGTACATTTGAGAATTCAGAACACGTGTCAGAGCGTGGTTATGAATAAATCAAAAAAGGCTTGTTTGTTAATATTTATATAACTTCACTAATCTCCGAATCTTGTTGAAAATGAGTTTGGATCACGAGTTACTCGACGTAAATTGTTAATTTATCATTTTATTCGTAGAAAATATTGAATTATTTCAAATACAGTTTATATTGTGAATAACTTTGCCCCGTAAATTTTGATTGTTCGATAAATTCAGATGTAAAATTGCTATTTAAGAAACTGGAAGGCAGAGTACGGTGCTAAACGATACTAACGAGCGGAAAGCGAAATACGTGTCAAGCGCCGCTCGAAATGAAAACGACCGCCATAAAATTCCTGACCGAGTGGCGCGCCATGTTAAAGGTTCGAGGATTAAAGCGTGATAAATGTTGAATAGGGGAAATATTTAACAAGAACCCATTGAAGCTTGTCGCTGCCGGGTAAAAACATTTTATTCACTTTGCTGATTCTGTGAAGTATGTTTTTACCGTTGTATTTTTGCGCGACGTAACGATGGATTACGTTTACTGCTTTAAAATACAGCAGGCACTACGGGTTATTCAATAATATCTTAAAAATTGTTTCTCATTCAGTGTTTATTCAGGTATAAACCCTTTTTAATCGTTTCTTCTTGGTCCCGGTACTTATGTGTTCATTGTAAAATACGATGGAATTATTTAGATCAGTTTTTTAGAATTGTTACATTAGTAGATTAACTTTCGGTAATTTTATAGAAGATACCCTGTACATTGTGAAAATTAAAATTAAAGTCGACGGTCAGACAATTCGTAATGATATTAACTCACATGCAAAGGGTACATATATAATTTATATTTTTTATTATAGATACATGTTACGTATCATTACACTTTTGAATTCAAATTCATGAGAATGTACATGATTCGTGGTATAGAGATTGGAAAAAGTGTTATTCTTGTTCGGGAGAAGAAAATGATTTCCTTCATAAGTGCAAGCTTTTTATGTAAGCGCAAATATAGAAGGTAGAAGGAATGTGTTCGTTCGTTCTCAAGAGAATCGTGTAAATTAAACCGGATTATCTTTTAATTTTATGGAAAGTCATTCAGGAATGCCTGGCAACTTCTTCAACTAATTAAGGTGCAAGTGACTCTTAATCGTATAACACTCGAGTACTGTTGTAGCTACTTCAGTAGACTCATGTTCCTATTCTATCTTGACATTCTATTTTAATTTCACATTATTCCATAATTTCCAATTATGAAAATGAAAAATAAATTTCTCGTGAGAGCAACGGTAAACGTTTACATTCAATTATCATCGTTAGTATATGTGTAAATTCGAAGTATTATATTTCTTTACCATTCTTACCATTTCTCACCATTAGTGATTTTAAATCTTTAACACTTTAATTCACATTTCAAATATTTTGAAGAATGAAGGTTCAGCTGTAAACATTGGTTTCGTTGTTAAAACGATTATTTTCTTGATTTCTACGCGAGAACGATTAGTTTCCTTTATTTACCGTGCACCGCTGAACGTTTATCTTCACGAGAGTATTATTAATTTTCTTAGTACACCTTTAAATATTTATTTCTACCCGAGAATCATTAATTTCCTTGATACACCTTTAAATATTCATTTCTACTCGAGAATTATTCATTTGCTTGCTATACCTTTAAATATTCATTTCTACCGAAAGAAATTATTAATTTCCTTAAAACAACTATAAATATTTGTTCCTTCTCAAGAATCATTCATTTCTTTCGTACTGTTCTGAATATTTATTTCCAGTCGAGAGTCATTAATCTTCTTCATTTACCGGCCAGATAATTGATATGTTACGCTGGCTAGATTATTTATTAGTTTCCGCTGAAGTAGCTGAAATCAGTACTTTCCATAGCAATTTTTTTTTTGCCACGTCACGTCCGTCTCCGAAGAATATCTTGCGAGGCGGAAGAGGATTTACGTCGACGAGGGATCGTTAATACTCTTTCAGGGGCAGGGAAAAGAAATCTAAGGAGAGTCACATCCATTGATTATCTTCTTTAGGTTTTTGTAAGGCGTTCGTGAGAGAGACGTATTACTTTCGGACCCCTCCATTTCCGGCAGCGTGACTTGCCACGTTCTTTGCGTATTCCCTGATCAGGTTCTATGGTAACCTGATCACCCACCGTGCCAGGGGTGCCGAAAGTTTGACTGATAAAATTTACTTGATCGCTGTGACGTCTTTTAACGTCAGTTTAATGGTCCTCGTGTACCTTTATTACGATCCACCCTGTAGTTATTTAGATGAAAATTTTGGACATGGTTAGAATTAAATTTCTTCCACCCACGTATTTTTTTAGACTTCTTAGATTTCTTGATTGGTAGATTGATTTTTTTTTAATTTTATAGTAGACTGATTCTTTTTAATTTTATAGTAGATTGAACTTAATAATTTATTACGATCAACTCTGAAGTTATTTAGATGAAAATTTTGGACATGGTTAGAGTAAAAACTATTTAGCTGACGAATTTTTTTAGACTTCTTAGATTTGTTGATTAGTAGATTGATTCTTTTTAATTTTATAGTAAATTGAATTTAATAATTTATTACGATCCACCCGGAAGTTATTTAGATGAAAATTTTGTACATGGTTAGAATTAAAACTATTTAGCTGACGAATTTTTTTAGATCTTTTAGATCTGCTGAATTAGTAGATTGAATTTAATAATAAGCATTTTAATAAATAAGTATGTACACATGCTAGTTTTGATAAAGCTAATGACATTTTAGATTTTTTAAATTAGTAGATGATCTTTTAATAATTGTTTAGTAGATTAAATTTGATCATTAATATCTTAACAAATAAGTATATGTGAATACCGGTTTTGAATGTATGGATTATTTATTTAATTTATGAAATAATTAATCATGTATTACTTACCAGTGTCAATAAATTGAAATAGCTTTAGCACAAGTTGAGTACTTGTTTATTAATAATATGATTATCTCTAAGCAGTAATGCTAGTTCATAATTAAGTACCGTATAATGTTTACTCACACGCTTCAAACGTTTGCTGGGTATAAATTGAATATTGATACATGTTTATCGCTAAATGTTCCCAATAATTCCTGATATTACACTAATAATTAATGTTGCAAGAAGTACTGTAAGTTGGAATTATTGTCTCTCCCAGAAGTTTCTGTTGCATTTTCCAGCGCAGCGAATTAATTGGCAAAATTGTTAACTCTATAAAACCATCCTCGTTTGCGTGACCTAAATAGCTAAATCAGTTTAACTTAGGTTGTTGCACGGGATGCTGGAACTTTCACTATGTTCGAGTTCAGAACACTAGCTCAACACTATTTCACGTTGTTCCTACGTGCTTGTGCATGCGTCATATTCTGTAGCATCGTAGAATCACGTACGGAATTATTACATTTAAACATTTACCCAATGAACATAATTGACATTAATTATCATTTGTGTTAAATATCGTTATCCATAAATCGTTCAATAATTTTCACTTAAATATCATTCGTCAATACCTTTATTCAGTCAATTAGAATCACCTATAAAGTGCTGAAAACTTTAACTATTCAAACTTTAATTATTCAATTAAGTATCAATCACAATGATTATTAAGAATTATTAAGCAAAAATGGAATGGAAGAGTAAAATTCTCTGTCGTTTAATGTCTTTTCTTAATATATTCTTAACGTTCTTTATGATTGATGCTTATAGAACAAAACTATTAGTAAATTTTAATTATGAGTCTATTTAGTCTGTATTTTTCAATGGCATTTTCAGACTCCAAGAATATTTTCACACAAATTCCTTCATAAAACGAATTACTGTCAAATAAGTCACATAAAACTGTTCGACGATTGTTCGACAAACCAGAACTAGTAATGAAGCTATTCAATAACCGTATTATAAACGAAATTTTGCACAACCAACGCCAAACTCACTGAATATTCAATAATTTCTATTTCAAAAGAATAAAAGATTCTTCAACGTAAATTGCTTCCTTTGAAAATGTGTTCAATCGAATTCAATGAAATTCAAAACTCCGAAAATTCATTACGAATCTCGGCAGAATGCAATGAAAGAATTGCACTGCAATTACCGATATTATCTCACTCGGAAAGCATCTATATTAATAAATTCCGTTTACATCACAAGCCTTGACACAATTCTGTCCTTCCCGCTGAGAAAACTGAGGTAAATAGAGGGGCGAAATATATGACTGCATTAACTATTTTCATTTATTTCAGCACTGTTTCGCAATATCCTACAGACGGGAGAATGAACGGAAATACGAGCTGAAAGCGGCCGGCGAGCTGGAATGCAAAACATGGATCGATGCAATAAGGGACGCCAGGTAACTGTTCTCTACGTAATTCCGTGCTCGGAAGTGGAATAATTAAAATGATAGGACCGCGAATGAATGACAGAGAACGCAGTGAGATCGATTCCAAGCAGCAGCGAACGGACTTTTCGACGGAACAGAGATCGCCAAGGAAGTTAACCGCGCGAAGTTTGCAAATCGAGATCAAAGATCACCGGTGAAAATCTTACGGGGCTTCCCTGCCATGAAATTAAAATTTCCTCGGCAAATAAGATTGTTCTTCTTCTTTATAAAATAATTCGATCTTATATTCCGTGTAAAGAATTTTCTACATCACGCACTTTCTTTTCGCTTCGAATACGAATAAATTCTTCATTTAAGTTTTTATTACATTTCCGACTATAAGCTTGATTGAACATAGTCGAAGGAATGAGGTGAGAAAGTGAATTTGCGAATTTAATTTTCATTTAAGAATTGTATGCGGTGGAAGGATGTACCGATGAAAATGATCGACAGATGTTTTTATTTTTGAATGTAGAATATTTGTATTTTTGTGAGATGTGTAAGGTTATCGTTGATTTATCGGATTAGATCGTTTGGGAATTTTAGGAAATCCAGGTTTCGAAATCTGTTTATATAGATAGATGTTTTAGAAATCTTGCGAATGAAGTTCCACATGGAAATTCGGAGAGAAGTTCGAATGTTTTAAGTTGAATAATCTAGCGAGCTCATCCACTCAGTGGGAATTTTAAATGTGTTTCTCCGAGAACTACTTCTCTCCTTATGGTGGGCGTTTGTTAACAGAGTCTTCTTTTAATCCGAGTCGCTATCTTTTTTATCGCCTCGTTAAACGTACCGTCGAATTTCTACTTTCCAAGTTTTTAAAAAAGGTTTGAATAACAGATAGCTAGTGTATAAACAAAATGAACCTGATTATTCTTGCGTGTACATACACAAATTGAAGAAACTATAAATAAATGTACAACTTCGAAAAGAACTTTCCAAAAGGCAGTGTATATTTTTAAGTCACTAATATTTATAAGAGTAGCAGGATTAAATCGTATAAATTTAAATATTCAAGATTTACGAATATATGGAATAATTTATACAAATTCAATAAAACATACATGTTTTCCAAGATTTTGAACAAGATTTCGAATGAAATTACATGAAAAAAATTCCAATTAACAGAAGTATTCAGTTAACGAGCCATGTCTTTGTTTAACCACTTTGGCCTATAATTTCTTTCTCAACTCTGATCGATAAGGCTACTTTGTCATTAATAATTTAATGGAAAAAAGGAAAATTCTAAGCATATGTTATACCTATATTTCCTTTTAAGTGTAATAGTTGATTACAGAGGAATAATATTTCCTTTGAATTCGAATGTACTGAATAACATACATATTTGTTGAATCATGTTGAAAATCTTCACTACGAGTCTCACTCGCTGTTGTAGGACAAGGGGTTAAGTATTCATCCATGATCATTTCAGAGCTTATTCTTGCCAGATGGTAAGAATTATCACCTTGAGATATTGAGTTAAATTGAAGTGTACTGTCTTGTGGGAACCGGAACGTAAAAGACGGAAGGCAATGATAGGAACGAAGTAGATAATTGGAACCTTCAGAGCGATACATCGTTAGATCCTGAAAAATGAGGAGAGAGGAACTTGCTGCCTATGGTATTTGTAGACCACGCGCGCGGAGAATAAATTTCTAAGTTGTGGCTGGCCGCCCTCTTTTTTCACGTTGCTGCTTTAATGGTTTCGCCTGTCTGGCAAACGTGATCACCCTGGCAATGCCTCCAGGTGCTCGGAACGGGCACATTGTTTCTACGTGCGTCAGTGGCATGTTCTTCATCAAACTACCTTCACCTTTCGCTGAAGCTGATGTTAACAGTTATACTGTATTAACCCTTAACACTCCAGATAGTTTTATAATCTATCAGCAACTGCAACTAATTTTTATAGTATCCCTAACGGAAATGAAAAATGCTATAATATTTCTTCGATTTTTTATTTTCCTTCTCGGTACAAAATTTGAACGTGTGGATAATCTAATTTTAGTTTCTTTAAGATTCATTGAAATATTTAATATTATAACTGGTGCAATATCGGAGCCTACAGATTTCAAAGGGTTAACTCTTTAGGTCCTCGATAAAAAGTTTGACGAAAAACTTAAAGCTTATCATTCTTATATAATAAAATTAATTGCAATCATTGAAATAATTGATATTGAACGGAAGTTAACGGTTATACTGTATTAACTCTTTAGGTAATTGATAAATGATTTACGAAAAACTTAAAACTTATCATTCTTATGTGATAAAATAAATTGAGATCATTGAAATAATTGGTATTCAACGGAGGGTGAAGGTAACGGTTACACTAAATTAACCCTTTAAGTCCCAGATAAAAACTTTTAGGAAAAATTCATTTACTTTCGCAATGCATGTTGATTTGTCGTTTTTAACAAAACTATATATTTGTATAAAAACTACTGGTAATGCTATTAGTACATCACATAAATTCGTCTCTTATATCCAATTAAAATATGAAACTTTAAATTATTTATTTATTATTGAAATATTACGAATGCTTCACTTTTCTTGGCTACGTATCATAATTTCAAATTTCTCGTATAAAATTGAAGCTATCGTTTTTAATGTATTATCTCTGAGCGGAGATACTTGTTGAAAATAAAATCGAGGAAATCAAATGAGTGGTTAACCCTTTGCAGTCCGAAGTGCTCTTGATTTTTCACTTTGAGGTTCATGTCGACGTTAGTTCATTCAATTACAGCTTAATATGACGCTCTATTTATTTATTCAAAAATATTTGGGAGTCATTGAAATGTTACCTTTAAATGGTACAATTGTGACACTACAAATAAATATAGAAAAAATTGTTGAAACAGGTAGAGGTTGCAATAAAATAGAATGCCGAGTCTGACTCGACATAGGACTGCTAAGGGTTAAGAAGTGGCAAGTAGAAATGAAAAAAATCTTCGAGTTAAAAGAGTTGGTAGTAAAGTTTACAATACAGAGTACGGCTTTTAAAGACTTTTAAGACAAATATTTTGCTGCGGTGTTCTTAAGATGGTTGCCGAGGGTTTTGCAACATAGAACATGTTTCACTGCGGAGGATAACGAAGTTCCAGGAAGATCAGCTAGCATTATTGCCTCGAGGCGTTCATTATGGATAAGTTCTACGCGGAGCTCATTTTTTGACCGCGCATTAGGGTTCAGGATATCTATGTTAATGCAACATTTCCAATGTTCTCGAATGTTTTTCAATAACTTCTTAAATATCACTTTCAGCTTAATATTAACAAAGTTGAAAATTACCGCATTCGTAACACTGAATTTTCAGCTAAGCATTAACATACACGAAAATCACTACAAATAAGGAAACTTCAAATAATAAATTTATAAAAATCGTTTATAGCTCAGAGTTACCAAGAGGTATCACTAAATTATTCTTAATTGTTTATGTGGAAATTCTAGTTACAGAAAAATGAAAAATGTTAAGAAATTCGGTGGAATAAGGATTTCTTATTGAAATACAAAAGTGTCGTCATTTATATTTTTACAATGTCGATTGAATATCAGTTGAAACAGCTAACTATAAAGTATCCAATGTTGAATGTAACGATATGTTCAATTTAAAGCTCAATTGTTTCATTGGTTAAAAGAATTTAAACTGAAAGAAAGTTACATATAGAAGTTCTCAGAGTTCGAATCTCATCTATATATACTTGGGAAGTAGAAGTTAAAGTTTATAGAGTGTGGAGAAGGTTTAATGACCTTTCAATTTTAAATGCATTAGAGAATTGAAGGTTCAGGACCAACGAAGACGTGTGTAGTACACATATGCGAACCTTTTAGGGAATTTCTTGAATTTTACATGAGAGATGCGTGGGTGTACATTGGGGGAACATTTTATACGTTTTTAATGTGGGATCAGGTAATGCAGGATATTCTCGTTTCTCTGGGCACTCCATGTGGACTTCTAAAGATTTTCTTTAATAAATCTAAAGATTTATAAATGTGTCGAGCGAGATTGTTATTGGAAAAGCACGTGAAATAGTCGAGCATCAAGATTGTAATGTAAATTCCATTCCGTCGAGTGCAATTCGATGCTAAACGGAGCTATTCGTTGACGTACCCTATTTTTTTTTAACCGTTGCTACACAATCCGGAATGCATCAAGTGATTGGCGTTGGCTCTGAAAAGTATTAACGTCACTTCGCGATTGGTTCGTCAAATAATGGTGATCGTTTAACGGTTCCCAACCGCAAAGAAATTGCTGCGGTTCACTTTGGAATTCGCTGGCAACCTATTTCCAAGTTTGAACACTTCGCTGTACCACAGTTGAAACGTATAACGATTTAAACCGCAAAATGTCGCAGTGAATTTAATTAAAATCTGCGTGAAAGTATGTGTAACGGAAATTCATCGGAATTATAATTTTTAATTGAATCATTTTATTGAGTTTATCAAGTCTATTAAATAATTCTGGTATAAATAGGATATTCTTTGTTTCGAATGATTCGGTAACGCGATATTCATGTGAAAATCCGTAATTCTATGAACCGATAAAAATGATACGCTTAATCGAGTTTCATCGTACTAATGAATAAGATGATTTTCTACTGCACTCATTTGCGAAATCAAATAAATGTGAAATCGTCCGAAATAGGGTAATCGTGAAATTAAACGGGAAAACTGTGGTCCATTTATTAATCATTTTTTGCAAACGAGCACAGATTCTCCTTGATTGCTACGATCCATATTTCATCGCGTTTTAAATTGGCCTTTGTCGAATAAATATGGCTCGGATTTCATGCTATCCGCGAAACACGTGAGAGTATGTCTTTTTTTTTATAATCGCGTTCGATTGCCATCGATTTCGTTGATTGAACAGGCGACATGATATTTACAATGTGGAACAATTATCGACGGACCAGTATCGTATCTTGGATTCGTATCGTTTTTCTGCTAGTCTACGTATTTACGTGCATGCGAAAGTACACATGTGAACGATATACATGTTACTTGTATTGTATGCAACGTGTCCTCAATTAATTTATTAAGTAACAAAACTTTTATTCTAAGCCACTTTACAATTAAACCATGTATGACTGAGTCATCGAATTATTTTAACGATAATGTTAATTATAAAAATGTCGACAGGAAGCTCGAGAAATATATTCTATCAGAGATGTTTATTAAATATTAGATATTAGGATTAATTAAGGAGTACAGAGTTAATTATAAATTGTAACAGTTTTTGTACATCGTTATCAGTAATTAACACGTTGAATGTCATGGAGGGCACCGGTGACCTCCAACCAAATCGAATGACTATATTTCACTTAATTAAACGATGATTATTTGAAAACATTTCTATATTATAAATAATGTTACCTAACGTGGTGACATTCAGCTAGAGAAACATGCAATAATAATAATGTAATTCAATCAAATGATTTAATATTATATTTTTTCTATTTTATATATTTTGTTCTATGAAATCGTGCAGCATTCAGCGTGTTGATATTTTAATAGTAGACGAAAGAAGGAAACGAAATGTGTACGGTTACTAAATAATTGAAAAGAATATTTCTGGTTAAGATCGCTATTCTTCTGCAAATTCTCAATTTCTAATGCGACAATTTCAAACAGCTGTTCACGATAGAAACGGTGTTCAACGATTGTTAACGTTTTACAGTTCGAAAGATCGAATACTTTCGCAATTGACTTTCGTAGCTTTTCAACATGAACCAGATGGCATATTCAGTTTACCATCAACCTGGTCATTGCTTACAGTTTCAACAAATTACTGCTGCAGAAGGAGAAGCTCGAGCAGAAGTATTTGCACTTGTTGCGCATCGTAGAAAGTGAAAAGACAGACAAGTCTCAGTATGTAAGTCGGTGCGAGGATCTTGCGTTGGAAGTACACAAACTTCGGATCGAGGTGAGTTCAAAATGTCTATATGTTTCTTACGGATTTAGTCTCACTTCATTTAGATGTTGAAATACAATTTAAATCCCGCGACAGATACATATCTAAGAAACACAAAATTCAGTGAAAATGATTGATAAGAATTTTCTGTCCTGAACATTTGGAACAAAGAAAAATGTATTAACTTCAAATATTCCCATAATTCTCATCGACGTTTACCAAGTACAGTAACTTCCTTGTTCCACGTGCGCGATAAGATAGTTCGAAATAAGTTCTTTGTTATACTATCATAAAACAAGTGTCCATATCCTTTTCAATTATCTAACATTCTGTATTATTTACTACTTTCCTCTAAATACATTTTCGTACAAATTAATGAATTTCTGTTAATGACGATAATAGCTAGATTGTACCAGGCAGTTTATCAAGAGAATTAAATAACATTCAGAGAAACGTAACTTTTTTAGAACATATAGTTTCATAAGATAGAACAGCAACGAAACAGAACGAAGTATCGAATCATCAGATCATCAAACTATGTAGAAATTAATGAATTACAAAGTCATTGAAAAGATTTCAAACATATTAATAATGTTTCTATATGACTAACTATTGTACATCTACGGAACATTCCTTCGCTTTTGTTGGAGGGAACGCATGTATGCGTATTCCCAGAACACGAACAACGAAAATTTCCTTTCGAGTTTGATCATTCGCAAGACTAGTTCGATATCCCATGAATTCCGATTCATTGTGTTCACAGTTGAATGCCGCGAGGAAGAAGCTGAGAGCTTCCTCCCAGTGTCACGGTGCAAGTTCACATGGCGGTGCATTATTCGGCAGCGGAGCAGATAGTTCCGGAGTTTCAGGAGCTGGATTGTTGGGCATCACCGAGGGCTCGTTGGAAATGCAAAAAATTAAGAAGGTTCAGAGTTTCTTCAGAGGCTGGCTGTGCCGGAGACGATGGAAGCAAATCGTGGAACAGTACATCAAAAGCCCTCACGCGGAAAGTATGCGGAAACGGAACAGGTGAGACTGGTAAAATTTAACCCATTACGTCCCAATGATCTATTAATAGATCACTCACTCTATATTGTTATAGTATGTTCCCAGTGATCTGTCTATAGATCATGCTATATATAGTATATTAAATGTGTCAGATTTTTTTCATTATTTTTCCAAGATAGTATGGACACTCATTACTCGAAATACAAACTTTCATCTAAAAATTCAAAAACAAATTTCATGGGACTTAATGGGTTAAGTGTAACACGTTGAATATCGCACGATTTCATTGGCGCAAAATACAGAAAATGGAAAGAATCAAATATTAAATCATTCGATTGAATTGCACTATAATTGCACGTCTATCTAGCTGAACGTCACCGCATTAGGTAGCATTATTTATAATATAGAAATATTTTCGAATAATCATCGTTTAACTGAGCGAACTAAAGGCATTCGTGCCCTCATGGCATTCGTGTTAACACGTTCGCTAGTAGCGTCGCATATTTGTGACGGCCGTAATCCTATATTTTGCATAATGAAAATGAAATTAATCCTATGGATATTGTTATTAGAAATTATAAACGACGACATTACATTTAGGAACTCAATGACTAGTTTCAGTTTCGTTTTCTAATATTTTGTTTAGAAGGTTTAGTGGATCGAAGAAAATATAATTGAGGAGACCGTCACAGAAATAAGCGCTGGTAGCGAACGCGTTAACTTGTTAACTGTGGAATAACTTAGTCAAGCATAAAGCCGAATGAGAGTCGATTATTCAACGATCTCGGTGTAGAGTTTGTTTCACAACAGCATACCCTAAAGCTGTAGACTAAAACCTGCCTCTGTAAAATTGGACGGGCTTGTGAAAAATGTAATATTGATGTATTATTTACTGATAACTGATTGATAGACTTCACAGCGACGTTTAACTTGTTAACTGTGGAATTTTGTTTGAACAATCTCTCGTTTTGCGCGTGGTAAAATCAAAAAATGAATTGTGTACTGGTCAAACGTAGGGCGAATGCACTTAGAATATATTTGAATGAAATACCAAAGCAAGACATAGAAGAATTACATGTTTATCTGAGAAAATAAGAAATTCATCAATGAAAGGATCGGTATCATTTCAAACTTTAAGATGACGTGTATACTCGTCGAACGCAGTTAACTAGTTAACACTTTGATGATTAATGTACTTTCCATGAACTGAAGTTATAATTGCTCGATGCTGTATTTCCCTGAAATCTTCAAAAAATATTCAAATAAACAACTACAAATTTTGATATAAATTCATAACAAGTAACACTTAACAAGAATATAAATTCATTACTAGCAAACTCCAGATTAATTTATAAAGTAGTCTATTTAAAATCATTTTAATGTTATAATGACATACGTTGATGAACTGACCTAGATATTAACTTCAAGGTAGAATTGTGAAGAAATTCTGATACATAAAAAAACATTGCCTTAAGAGTAACTTTAAGGAAGACGTTTAAACAAATTTTGTCCAAGAATCAGACGGTTATTAGAAAATGTTCATAACTTTCAAATTGTGAACATTTCTGGTAGTTACATTCCGCCAGCATTTAGCTCGAGCAGAAGTCGGCGAGGTATAATGAAGGAATCAACGACGAACATATTAGTTAATTAACAGAGATACGACTAGACGTTAAACTCATTCAACTCGACGGGGAAGCATCCGCGGCAGCGTAACCAGTTTAATTTTACGCAGGACATGAAAGTTCCAAATAATCTCCTTGTCATTTCACTTGAAGCGTAAGTGTATCGACTGCCCGAAGCGCAAACTCATTACCTTCGGCTGCGCGATCGTTTTGCTAATTATACTGTGTTCCCAGGCTGCGCAAAGGTTAATTACTTTCACGAGTACTTCGGTTTCTAACAGTATTAATTTTTTCGCGACATGATACTTCCAGCTGCAAACAGGATACTCGATAAAATAATTTCGTCTCTATCTTTCTGAATATCCGCCACTTTTCTGTTGTATGAGCACATTTTATAAACAATGTAATATATTTCTCAGGTATGAAAAAAGAAATGATACTCTTAAAATAAAACAGAAAATACAAGAGGTATCATTGGATTTTATTAAAATTAAATTCGTTTCTTCTGAAACAACTCGAAGCCATTCATTTATTTAATAACTTCATTTTTGTGTAACTTTGGCCATTCCATTTGTATTTACTAATACAATGTTCTAATCAATTTATGGGAATGTGATTTCTGATTATGACTTTTATCGTATTGAAGTAGTTCATTTTGAGCGAAGATATCGCCAATTTAATTAGTCACGAACAGCTTCAAGAGCAATAATAAGGAACAATGATTATATAAAACGTTTCTGAATTGGGAACATCTGTATTTTAGTTTGGTATTCAATATGGTGGAGGCTGAGGAGGACTATACGAGACAGATGGAGATTTTAGTAAGCTGTTTCTTGAGGCCTTTTAAAATGGCTGCGAGTTCGAAGAAACCTCCTTGTTGCCACGAGGACGTGAATAGTATATTCTTGAACAGCGAAACGTTATTGTTTCTTCATCAAATCTTCCTAAAGGGTCTCACGTCTCGTATGGAGAGCTGGCCCACTTTAGTTTTAGGTACGTTGAAAAATAATTTATCAATCCTATTATCCAACACTAAATTGTAATTTAACACATTTAACACACAATTCAAAATAATCCTGTCAACCATAATAATTTCAATGAAAAATATAAATTAAAGATATTTGATCATATTATAATAATCATAGGGAAATCTAATTTAATTCTATCATTCATTTGATCGTGAACTTTATATTTGTCTACGTTTTTCAAATATTCCATTATGTTAAACATTTATTATTCCCATGGTTGTTTCATTTGTAATAAGGAGTACACGCTATCAATGATTAAATCGATGTTTATATGGAAAATTAGTTTAATAATTGAATAATTTTAAATTATTACACACAGGCGATACTTTTAAGGTACAAACGTATAAATTTCCTCGCCTAATCGATGACCTATAAATATAAAATTACTTCAAAAATAAATACGATGGAGACTGAAGCCTACTTCTCCTAACTTTATTTTAGGCGACCTGTTCGACATGTTGCTACCTATGTTATCAATTTACCAAGAGTACGTCCGAAATCATCATTACAGTCTGCAAGTGTTGACACATTGCAAACAGTCATCGCCGTCATTCGCGGCATTGCTCACTAGACTGGAGAACAAGCCTGCTTGCGGAGGACGTACTTTGGAGACGTTTTTAACATATCCTATGGATCACGTACGTTTCTTGGAACTACTTAACTCTATAGAAAAAGAAAAGTACCAAAATATAGGTACATTAACACTAGAACTACCGAGCAGTAAAATTGATTATTCTGTATTTCCTTATAAATTTTATAAAAATACATTTATTGAGTGTTCAATTTCCTTATACAGTAGCACCCCCTATAATGCGATTAACATATTCCATGTGACAGGGTTTCACGTTTACGAATTTCACATAAAATTCCCGATTTCGATACTGATCTGATTTGTGTTAAGTTGATCCTCTGATTGTATCAGTTTCTTATGGAAAATCTTACTTTCATCCTTGTTTTTCGACGATTTTTTAATCTCGTTATAGGCGGTTCTACTGTATAAGGAAATCGAACACTCAAGAAATATGTTTTATAATTTAGTATTCTAGTTTGTGTTTATCGAAATCAATTTATTGAATAATTTCTCAGAAAGTCGCCTGTGCCTTTTCCATAATTGCAAAAGAAGTGACACTACCGCCTGGTAGTTTTAATGTTAAATACATAAGCGTATGTGTCACAATTTAGAAACTACAGGTATACACAACGATTTTTCAAAAGTTATGAAATCGATGGAATAGCAAATTTAATAACAAAGTAATGAAGTGTTTTATCAGTGAAATTAAAGAGTGCATACTAGTGGTGATTTTTTAAATTTAAATTTGATCGTTCATATATCGATTGATAGTTGGTTGCAGAGTGGAGTAAGTTTATTACTTTTAGAGGGTATTGTTGTAACTTGAAATTAAGCGCGGTAATATTGACTTTCCATTATGATCAACGGTAAAAGGGTTATTTTATCAAATGAATAATGTACCCATTGCTAAGTCAGCAATGCTGTGACCTCGAATATTCTCATTCTCTTTTTTGTCGATTTATATATTTACAATTGTAGTGAGAATATGTTAAATAAATGTTGTCAGAGAAGTTACATAAGTATTAGTAAATTAATTGGTACTCAGTTAAGAATTATACAGAATTTACATAAAATCCTTGAAATTAAAGAAACTTCTTTGGTGGAAATTAATTAAAAGTGTAGAATTTATGTATTTATTTTATTTATGTAGTTCTCATACCAAGCATTCAAATCCTTATAAAGATTAAATTTGAAGTTTGTTACGAATTATTTTATAGAATAATGATGTTCAAAGTTTTTAACGTCAGTAGAAATAATGTGTAATAGACAGGCATCGTGGCCAATAATATTTGTTCAATGCCTATCTTATAGACGAGGATATTAACATATATAGTACTAATTTACATTACAGTTTCCAAAATATATTGTTACACTGAATGAGTTGTTGGCGCATACACCGTTCGATCACGTGGAACGTAAAAGCCTCGAAAATGCGAAGCAACAATTAGAAGACTTATCGAGGCAAATGCGCGACGAGGTATGCATGAAAAATATTTTAATCTTTAACGGTCGATAATTTTTTTAATAATACACACTTCATCTACGAAACAACAGAATATTTACTTAATTTGTAAACAAAGTAATGGTAGGACTTTTATAGTAATAAAACAGACAGTTTATTATATAAAAATTCTAGTTTTCAATTTAAAAATGCCTAAGCTACAACAAGTATAATAAATATAAATGAAAACGACATTTTTTTACATTTTGACTTTTAAGGGTTAAATTCATATGAAATTTTAAACTGTTTATTTCATTCGCATACATACATATTTTGTATCATATCATCAAGAAAAGTAATTGTAAATATGATACTGATCGATGTATGTATACGTATCTTTGTAGGTCAGCGAAACCGAGAATTTAAGAAAGAATTTGTCAGTGGAACGAATGATTGTCGAGGGTTGCGACATTTTACTCGATGTTAACCAAGTATTCGTCAGACAGGGTAAGCAATATTATTCTTATGATATTTATAAAACTAATTCTTTCAGGGAAAATTTAATGTTTCATGTTCTATCAAACTGTTCAACGAAACTGTTAAAACTGTCAAAATTAAATGTTAATTTCCCACATGGTTCATTCGAATAAAATCTCATATAATTTTATTGCGTATAAATAGACGTTAAGAGATTTTCTTAATGTTTAGAAATATTTAGAAAAGTCATAAAACGTTGCAATATTTGGTTGAAGTAAAATTTTTTCCGAAAATAATGAAAATATCAATTCTAGTCAAATAATTGTTAATTGTAACAGTCATAGAACGTTAAATGTTTTGTACACTTGTTTCGCCAAATTTACAATCTTTCTTCAAGTTAAAGAACATTGTTCATAAATTTACATTAAGTCAAGTCTAGATAAAATTAACACCCTTTTCGTCGCCTGCGCCGCGTTCTAACAATGTGCTAAGTAAAACGTGATTAGCGTAATCAATGCGGAAAGTTCCGGTGCAGCTAGTAAATTCTCACAAAGAAGAGGAAAGAACTTTGCAAATGGATAAAGTACACAAAGTTCGTTACAAATTATTCGTTGCTGTCTAAAATATGGTATTCTGAACACATAGGGAATCTTTTAACAAAAGAAAAGGTTTTCTATGTCATCTTTATCAATTTAAAATCAAATAATTGAATCTTTAAATGACAATAGTGAGGTGAATACATCACTCTTATTTTATCTAATACACGCGATAATTAACAAACTAATTATTCTTTTAGTTTCATTAATAAAATCAAAATGTAGGATCAATGAATATTATATCAGACGAAATATAATTCCGATTCAATTAAACTGAATTAATTTGAAAATCATAAAAGTTAATAATCTTAATGTTCAATATATATTTCAAACAATTTTAGATAGAAAATGAATATCTGCTTTTCAGAATCTAACAACAACAATAAAATATTTTCCGACGTATTTATACAGTCTCACAGCTTAAGTAAACATTCGTCAAAGTACATATTTATTTTTCGTTATAGGTTTCTGTATACATTAATGTTTGCGTTAAAAAGAAAAATTATTCCATTTTTATACAAGTGACCAGATAGTTGAAATATTTCATGTTCTTCCTTCTGAACACAAATTTCCGTCGTTTCTAATAAATTGTCTAACGTTGGTAACAAAATACCAACGATTGCCTCGTTAACTATTTACCTTGTACCGAGAGAAACGACGCGAAACTTTTCGGCGCAGTCGATAAATTTCTCGGTCGGACTTGTCGCGAGGGAGTTCTTCCTCGAATATTCGACAGGGGAATCCCCGAGACGCTGAAATTCGCAATGGACCGCGCTTGCGCGTCTTCATACTTCCCGGAATCGATGGGGTTGCGTTTAGGGATGAAAATAATCGTTTGACTATGCGCAAGAACAATTGTCAGGGGTGTCTTAACAGAAATTCCGAAATCCTTAGTTTCAGACTAGCAGTTTCAAAAATTCCCTAAACAATTTGTTGAAATTATAAATACCGATTCATCGGATGGAATTCATAAGATGGGATAAGAAGACAAATAATATGAACTTGGAAATGAAGCTTTTACTTGCGTTGTATTGTCTTTCTTGCCTGCAATTAATAGCGAGGAACATTGAAATAAGATGCTTGTTTAAAACATATAGACTGTAAAATATAAAATGTAAAACTATTTGATGTTCGATTGAAATTAATGGAAACGGATTGTCAAAAATTGTTCCGTGACACGGCCCTGGTCCCTCGTGTTTGGTATTATATCACATGGCTGCCATGCAAAGATTCACTGAATAGAAAAAGCTCAGGTCGTGAGAAGTTTCTCTATAATCTATCGATGAACATCGTGAAGATTCGATATTTTTAATGTTCGCTGATTATGAGATGTAGATTTGAATATTTTTCGAGATTTTCGTTGAACCATCGATTTATTTGAGTATAAGGTTGAGAGGACGAAGTACAAACAAAAACGTGCGAGCTCCATCTTGCATTTCTATTCGTGTAAATAGTAAATGTAACGAGGAATATTTTAATTCGAGGTAGATTACGTTTGACAGAAGATTTGTCGTGTGAAACGAGGACCGAATAATGTGTACAAACGGAACTGTTAGCGATCAAAGATACCAGGTACACGAATATGTTATTGTTGTTGTTGTGATCTTGGTGTATGAAAACAATCTGTTGCATTACTTGCTGTATCGATGTATTGTATTTTATATTATAAAACGTATGCTATACAAACTGTTTATACAACGAAATGTTAACGGACGAATAAAATATTTGTACGAAACATTCAATAATAAATGTTCTAAAACAGGTTTGTTAATTTACAACATGAATGACATGCATATTTAATGATTTGTAGTTTACCACTTTTAGGTTTTTCGTATTCTAGTTTTCTGAGAAGGGCATATTAACATTAAATAGAGAAATGTGGATGCAATAAAACTTAGTTTACTTATTATAAAATTTATTATAAAACTAAACACAACGATTAAACACAGTCGGTTGTTTAAAATTTTTAACTGCATTATACAAGACCTTCTTATATTTAAATCCTTAGAAAATTTATTATAAACTATTTTTCCACGAACTTTCATTTTACAGTTACATATCTAAAATCTAATACTTCAACGAACATTTTATACCGCATTCGTTGCTTTAATATAATAAAAAACCTGTAATAAAAAGAAATCTAGATATATAAACCTATTACATGTAACAAACATTCAATTTTATTAAAAAATATCTATTACTCGGATCGAAACATTTAGTTAACATTAAAATTTCTTAATATCCATGCAAAAATTTCTGAAAATTTCGGAGAAGTGACATGTGTTTAGACATTAAGAATATTAATACACATTATAATTAGATATTAAGAATACCAATTTTCTAATATTAATTTCTGGTACTCTAAGCTTAACGTGCATCCATACATTAACAATAATATGTTATCATTTGTTTTAGGTACGCTCATCCAAATTTTAGATAAGCCGAAAGGAGCACGAAGTAGATTCACTGCGCCTTTTGGTGGTAAAGGCGGCGACAAGGAAGCAGTCAGACAATGTTTCCTCTTCTCTAATCATTTGTTACTGACGACGCGTCAATCGGACGACGACGGTCGGTTAAATTTGGTTCCGCAAGTTGGCAAAATACCGCTCTCGGATGCTATACTAGTGGAGGATCCAAGTGATCAAGGAACCGCGGATGATGACGGTACATTGATGACATTATTGTTAATATAACGCTTGTAAATTGCAGCTAGGCCAACTATACGCATTCTTCGCCGCTATTGCAGCCTTCATCGTCACAGTTTTTCCTCTCAACACATGCAAAAGAATACTTTAACCCTTTGATGACGAGGATTTTTCAAAATACTAAAAGTCATTTCTACTTCCAATTTCATTTTTAAACTACTAAGAACTCTTGAACACTAGAACCTAATCTCTCGATTATGCATTGACCTTCTGGCATTTAAACAGTAAAATTACTTGCTTGCAATCTTTTATTTTAAACACTGAAATTTGATGACGCCAATGCGACATTCGTCTTCTAAGGGTCAACCCTTTGTATTTGAAATTGCGATTCTGGTTTGTCGTTTTGTTCGATGCAGTAAAAATTAGGAAATTTGATGTTTAATATTAAATTTTATATAATTTATTTGTACATAATATTGTAATGAAATTTGTTTTTTTTTATTAACGACGAATATTTATAGTATATAGAATGTCAAGTGCAAAGGGTTGATATTGTAAATAGCCCACAATGTAAAATATTAGAGATAACATTTCATTAGTTATCAGTGACGTTAATAGTTACAATTATTGTCATGTTGAAACTGCTGATTATGTTATTCGATATTTATTTGCGATGCATCTAGCTTATTTTAGTTTCAAACTGCACCAGCTTCAACGCTTTGGCTGATCTATCGTGTGGAGAGGAGTATTTAAAATTTTATATATAATTAACCTATCGTTCCCATGACTGCGAACTGATTATAGAACTCTCAGTATGTTCGATGTCCAGCGGCATCAGCGAGAGCAGCGGAAGTGGTGGCGAAAATACCATGAATCATCTTCAGAACCGTGACTTTAAGATTATAGTCGATTTGAAGCTTGGCGGGCCTCAAGTGGTGGTACACCTTATAGCTGCTACTATACAGGTACAGCTCGAATCCATTTTTCGCCATAAACATTCACCGAGTAGCCCTGTTCAAAAAAGTATCTTTAACACAAGTATCATCTTAATATTTAATATTAATCATAAAAATTATCGTGAATAGACGTAACTAGTCCCCATTTTGTTTTTCCAATTTTCATAAAAAATTTCTCGAAATTCCTTCTGTCTATTTGGTAAATTTAAAAATATTTCCTACAAATTATTATTCAAATCTTCGAATTTTTCAGTTTCAACAGTACCATAAATTTTATGAGATGAAAAACAAAAATATTAGATTGCTCAAAGAATCTAATCACATTTTTCAATGAGATTCAAAGAAAAATTTCTTTACCTTATATTAAAGCTTAGTGAACTGTCGTCTCACTATTGTCCTTTAGTATACTTATTCGTAATATTGTTCCCTATATTATAATATAACACAGTGATCTCCTAACAGTACTCGTCGATTCTCATGAACGATTTAAAATTAATGGAAAATCTGACGTGTGTAGGAAAAGGCTGCCTGGATCAGCGACATCATCCAGTGCAAGGACAACGTTTATTTCAGTGATCATTTATTTCGCGGCTCGTTGTCGGACACCAGCTCCGCCGCGATGCCGCAGTCGTATAAAAACGATCCGAGCCTATTCAAGGATGACGTGGACATCAGGTTCAGCAGGAAATTGAATTCCTGCAAGGTCCCTCACATTCGTTCCGCCACACCCGAACGGTTGCTTCAGCAACTTACCGATCTACGATTCCTCAGCGTAGACTTTCTTAATACGTTCCTGCTAACCTACCGGGTGTTCACCGACGGAGTGACCGTGCTCGAAGCTCTGAAGAAAGTGTTTTACGAGGCCGAACCACCGGGCGCTGATCTGCCAACGGGTTCTTTTGAGTAAGTACACAAGCATCGACAAGATTAACAGTGCGTGTCAGATCTTTTTAATAATAAAGTAATGGTAAAATATTATGTGATTCTTATTTGAATTAAAGAGTCTTAAATCTTAAGAAACAGTTAAGGCTAACGTACAGAGGAACACGAAGCTTGTTGCTCTCATCAAAGTCTATGATCACCACATGATCGAATTAATTAATTTAGTTATCCAAAGTTTACATGTAGATTCTTGATCTTTTATTTTTATAAATTTTATGAAGAATTACTTATCAATGCATTGTTGTATAGACTTTTTGGTGTTTACCTTTATCTTTTTTTAAGTTTTTAAATGTTGTGAAATTTGTAATTATTTCTATAAAATATAATGCAGGATGCTACATTATATGAAGAAATGATATATAAATTTATAAAATTTGAAATATATATATAGATTAAGACACGATATTTCATCAAAACGAATCTCTTTAAATTATTGCTTATCCGAATATTGTTTCCGATACGTTATCATTATTTTATATTTCTAGATCTTTGGATGTATTAGGGACTAACGCAGACACGCAGTCGCAAATGGACGACCGAAGGAGGAGCATCGTTTCACCTCGAAGGACTAGCGCAACTAGTTCTGTTTCCGGTATAATATTTTTCAATTTCTATTACCTCTCACTGACTCGTGGATTGAATTTTTCTTTTCCAAAACAGTGTTCGTTGAAGTAGGAAAATTGGACTCTATTTTCACGAAACAGACCCACCCTGTACATTTATTACACTGGTCTGCCTTTCATGAATTATGAGGAATTATTTCAAGGCTATATCATTTTCTACCAATCTTTGTTTCTCCTAAGTTCACTCTAACTATAGGGTTCTTAAAATTCTATAAAATATTCTCAGACAAAGGTATACTACCTACAGGAAATTTATTCGTTTAAACAAAAGATCCTTGATCATTTCTAAACCTTATGCTGAGCTATTCAATTTGAATTCTAACATTGTTTGTTTATACTGTGATTTATACGATGTACAGGAAAGTAGGAACACACGTATTTTAGGGATGTTCTTGTCCTGAAGAAACAAAAAGTAGCAAAGGCAAATTACCTGATACTTTCAGGATAAATCGAATGTCAGGAGCCTTCTAGTGTCGAGTGTAGGAGACGCTGTCACGCACGTTGTTAATGCACAAAAATCATCACGTACACCGTTCTTTTGGAAAAAGAGGAAACGAAAAACGAACGTTTTTAATCAGATTCAAATCGAGCACTTAGTTCTTTATTTATCTTTTGTCGAATTTTTAAATGGAATATTCTGGTGTCTCTCGTTTATCCTTGCTATTATTGTGTCACACGTTTATTTCGAAATTTTATATACCGTTAATATTGAGTTCTGCAAATAGTAATCGAATTATAATATTTCCGCATATTTAGGATACGGATCAGAAATAAGCGAAATAAAAAGTCACGGTTCCTGTGATTTCTCTGGAGGATATACAGTCAGTCCGAAAGGTTACAACAAAGGTGGATATAAGAAGGGTAAATTTCTTGTCATTACAAAACTAAATGCGAATAGGATACTACATTATATATAAGCACGCCAATGGGATTACGCAAAGGGAATTGAATGAATCAGAGTTCGCTAACATCTTCCTTTCACGTTACATTACCAATGGATTCTTTTATTCTTCATGGATTTATATTTATATTATGTTTTTTCTTTACATGTTCCGACACATTAATCAATCTCAAGTATGTGTTACAGAGGTGGAAATACTTGTGTAGATTCGTCAAATAGTGGAAGAAATTTTTGTTGATATGGATCGAAAAGAATGAATTTCCAGGAAAATTGTTTAACAATTCAATGATCAACATACAGGGCGTTCGACTGCAGATGATCTTTTTAGGAGTTGCGATCGTACATGTCAAAGTAAAACGAAAATTAAGAGACTTGCTTATCTTCCGTTTAACGTAATTAACTGATTCATTGTTTAAAATTGTTAATATTTCCGTTTTATTTTGACAGGACAGTCAGATTTAGGTCAAAGTTACGTCCGATTGAACCCGTAAAGAAATGGCCATTTGCGGTGGAACACTCTGTACAGTACACGAAACATGATTAAACTACGATTGATATCGATGTTCAATCATTAAGATGATTTTTGTTATTAATTTTTACAGAGTTTACCGCATCCTACAATGTATTATACTTTTATATAAATGTCTTTTTGTATATTGTCAAGAGTGTACATATATACTATTCGACATTTCCATTTGCTTGAAGCTACATTCTATTAATTGGTCTTTTAATAGAAGACGAAAAACAACAATCGCAACACCACCAACAACAACAACAACCACAAGAACAACAGCAGCAACAACAGCCGCAGCAACCTGTGATCTCGGAAACGCCATCTATTATGAAACGCAGCCCAACTATACAATCGTCCGCTGCATCCGCTGGAACTCAATCTCCCGCCTTGCCCCGTAAAAATGGCGCTCAGACGGATCAAGATAAGAAAGAAGAAAACGATGGTTATCATTTGACGATACCGAAAGTGATTGCTGTCTCGTCGAGTTCTGAAACGCTTACGGGTAATAACGCTTAGATGTTTAATTAAAAATTATAAATAACTATAAATATTGATTAGAATTTTTTAAACTAATTATAAATACTTTTATCTTACTTTTAATCGATATAATAGAATTTACATAGATAGTATAACATAATATTATATTTATTAGTAATAGTATCTAATATTTGTAATAGATAATATTTATTATATTTATTTTATATTTGAATACAAGGCTCAGCAATTGTGGTTACACTTATTTACACATTTTTATATTTACGTTTATAAGCGTTACATACTTGATTTACTGATAGTAATTGTAGCATTCTCTGTGATTTCAGATAACACTGTAGTAAGCGCCCCTTCGTCACCCAGCAATTTAAGTTCTGTTACTTTAGTCGGGTCCACTGGGTCTGGATCCGGTTCTGGATCAAGTCCACAGGATGGAGGCACCTATTCTCGTGGTGCCTCGGAAGACACTGACACTCCTGTAGCAACGGAAGAATCGAAAGAAGGTACAGTTAATACGATGATATTTGAATTAGGTAGTGTTAATAAATGTCAACGAAATTAAATTTAATAATGTTGCAAGTCTGTTTCTTTTTGTTCTGAGGTATCAAAATGTTTACGTTTCTATCGATTAAAAAATTATTTAGTTCGCTGACAATTCTACGTATTTAACTAAACATCAATTGATTATAAAAAAAATTTGAAATGCTGTTGAAAAATCGTGAACTCATGAAAATTAACCTGTTAAACGAAAAAATATTATTAATTATTAAACGAATGATGAACGTTCTAAACTTTGCCACGTGTTTCGAATATTTTTAGCGCAATGGTTATATCCCTTAACACAAAAATATGGAATATTTATAATCATACTTTCAGAGGTGCAATTCACGTACGAGGACTCGGAACCCGACACCCGTAAAGCAGCGAAACAAGATACACCTACGCAAACTCCTCCAACCCCGAAAACGAAATCTGTTTCAACGATAACTGAGAAAGAGTTGATTGGACAAGACAGAGACAGGCCAATGGCAGTCGAGAGTGAAACCACTGGCTCGTCTACACGGCCTCAATCGCCGGAAAAACTTCCACAAAGATTTTTACCACATTACTGTCAACACAGAGCATCGATTGCTTCCGCTCCAGCTGCTACAGCGAGAAGCGGCTCTATATCTACGACTACTGGTGTACGTAAACTGAAATTGCATTTTACTCATTCAATTTTCATTGGAGCGTGTACAATTATATAATAATAATATAGATTTATTATTCATGTATGGAATTACTTAGCATAAAATATTTCCAATATGGAAGATAAGAACAATGAATCTGATTCGATAGAAATTTCAATTTTTAACTGATAAAGATTAGAGGATAGAATAATCTTAACGAACATCTGAATGTTCCGGTATAACAACTCTATTCCTCTTAAGTTTCATTCAAATAATCCATCGAAATGTACTTTAGTCTTCGTCCGACTTTTGTAATTTCTTAGTTAAATACTTTAAATTCGAATAATTTTTTTATTAACGCGTATAGTAGAAATTTTAATGAGCTGCGAAACTAGAAAATGCGAATGTAGTACTCCAAGGTATGAAGTGCATAATCATTCAAAAGATTAAGAGTATACAGAATTAAATGATCAAAATGACCCGTTCCTGATTCCTTCTTTTTGCAATTATTAAAAAGATAACAGATGTTTCTCTGAGAAATTCTTAAAGAAATTGGTTTAGCGATGAAACTGAATTGTAGATCAATTAAAGTTTCAATAGATGTACTCTTGGAGTTTTTAGAGACAACTTTTAAAATAGCAATTTAGCTGCTCGGTAGTTTTAGTGTTAAGCTTATAAGTTTGAATGTTACAGCATTCGTGTCATTTCGCGTCACCATGAAAATCAATGCTATAACATTCACGTCGACGAACGTGTTTTAATTAACATTCATACGAAAATACAATTGCGTTCTACTTCGTTTTTGCAGAATCACTGGCTCAACAGACGTTCGATTCAAGAAACGGAAATATCGTTCCAGTCAGGGTGCTTCCAGCACGACAAAGTGTCCGGTAAAGTTGGAGTAGTGGTAACCAGCTCTCGGCAAAGTCATCGAAGGTTCGTTCGAGCATACCTGACGTGTTTCAATGTTCACATCGATGTATCGGTACACATTCGAGGTTTTTCGTTCCCTGAGATTACAAAATGGCACTGCCGCACGAGCAAAATTTCGAACTCTTTAGTATGTTCGCTTGGAAACGATGAAAACCGCGAGGCGTCGTCTTTAAGGAAACTAGAAATAGCGACCAACGAACATTATAATGAAACAACGATTAACGCCGTCGTTGAACGCGTGCCTCGAATACCCATTAAGGAATCACCATTGTACAGGCTTTTGTATTTTCGAAACCGAAGGAAATTATCTCTATTTCGTTTCTCGGTATTGCTACTGAATGTTTATCGCAATAAAGGTATTTTTCACTTTTTTACGCATGAGTGCTTTGTCTCGATGATTTACTTACGTGTTTTCTTCCGCCTATTGTCTTCCTTTATTTTCTAGACAGAGGAGACCGAATACTTTACTGGGCGCACAATCGTTTTGTACATAAAACTTTGATGATTCTCTGTGTATTTTTACTTTGATTCTTGAGTATATATTTCTCTTCGGATCAACACTATGTTTGCATATATCTTTCTTCACCTTTATAATCCACTTGTTTGTTATATGTACGTTAAGATGCATATAGAATTTGTTTTATAATGAAATTTATGTATCTATTTGTTAATTACGTTATCTAGAAGTGAGACAAACATTTGTCTGTTTTGTTGAAGAAAGATGCCTATAAGATTTATATTGCTTGGGTAAAATTTAATGTATGGGGTGTATGCTGTAACAATCGCCACGATTTTTCATGGACTTATGGTCGACGAATAAAATGTTTCGAATAGAAACTAATCTGACTTAGGAGCTTGAAACTGCAATATAAAAATCAAGATTCCCTTGACTTTTTCGAATTGCACTATATATTTCTCCTTTACTTTGTCATAGTTGATGTCGATACGAATTCAGTGACTCTAGACTATAACCTTGAAGTGGCCTTAAATTTAGAAATTTTTATATAACAATTAATAATAATATCGTAGTACAAAAACACGATTTCGTCGATTGACAATTCTAATTCGTCGCAAATGAAACAATTTACCACAATAGCATTTCCTTTCATTGGATCTAAATAAAAGGAAACATGTCAAGGTGACTTTTTGTCGAAAAGAATCTTTCTCTGAAATTTGTTCAATTGCATTTTAAAGCTCCCGAAAATTGGTTTTTCCGAAACGGCTTCCTTCGAAACATTTTTCAGCGTACGCTCTGTATCGTATAAAATATTTTGTTATGCTATTAGTAATGTAAGTGTGACGTGAAGTTGAAAGCAGCGAACGTGTTAAAACTTGTAGATCGGAACGCTTTATACGAACGTTGGCGATTAGTTAATTAGATAATTTCGAAGCAGTTCACGATGCTCATCACTTTAGCCGAAATAACGTTTTAGTTGTTTTTAACGCAACTGTATTTCATATGTCGTTTTGTGTCACTCATAGCATTGGACCTGAACCTCTCTGGTAAGTGTTATCCTTTCAGTTTTTGGCAAGATGTTGTTCCCATTTTTTATGTTGCCGCATGACGAGCTGTTCACTGCAAAATCACTTGTACCCCCCCTTACTCGTTAATTGTTTATGCTCAACGAACGTGCACCGTAAGTGTTAAAATAGAGGAATACTAATTCTTTATTGAATTTTCCCTGCTATCCTCTATATTCATTGTTCAATACTATCTGAACGATTAACTCCTTTATCTGTGACTTCTTTTACAAGTACATTGACATCACCATTTTAACAATTCACTAAAAGTTGATAATTTACTGGGACAACAAAAAATTCATGCTTCCTTCATATATACATTTATTTCAACACGTCGAAAATTACGATAACATAATTATTTAAACTTAAAAGGGTAGAAGTGTGTTTTGTGTTTGTTAAATTCTGTTTAAAATCTTTGCATCGAATTTGTCACGATATTGGAGGGAGGGTTAATTACTTTAATGTTCAGTCACGATGACGTTCATTTTTTAACGATTTTATTATTTACATTGAAATATAATAATTTGAAATGATAATAATTTATTTAAGAAGAAACAACCTCGATCATTTCTCACATAAACATTCTGAAAAGGTGCATTATACGTCTATTTTGTATTCATTAATGCTCCTATTGTACTAATAATTATTAATTTTTTATTTACACAATTATATGTTAATTACATATGACACATTTTATATTAATTTTCTTTTTCATGTTAAAACGTTTGCTTCGTAGATATTGCGAAGTTTCATGACCAACCAATGCATAATCTGTAATTCTATTATATTACAAATTACACTGCACTGATATGACATGAATTGATAAGCGAACTAAACGAAATAGAAATAGTTTAAACCTATTAGACGCCTTCCGTTACTTGATGTTCGCGATCGTTATGTCTACACCTCAAAACTCGTATGAAACAACGATCGAATGCATAACGTGGACTGCCGATATGTATTAGTTACTTAATCGCTAATATGTGTCTTAGTGCACATTAGATTTCGTGACGGAATTATTCGAAATATGTCCGTTCGTCTATTCTACTCACCCAGATTGTGGATATCTGTAATATTTTTCCATTATTTGATTGAAGTATAGATTGGTCAACATATAAACATGTGTTTCTTCAATTAACCCTTTGCACTCGAAAGTTTTTCACTTGAAATACTCAATACTTTCCGGTTAGATGTAGACAACATTCTTTAAAATTAAATTATGAAGAAATCACACATAAATTAGGGAACAAAGCTATTTTCTTCCAATACTTCACGTATTGAAGTAGTATACAAAGTTAAATGGTAAATACAAAAGTTCATAATTTTACGGTATCAAATCATCTGGTGACCGGGAATCGCCTCTCGAGTGCAAAGGTTTAAGCGTTTTAGAATAGCAAGAATATCATAAAAACCATATGTCTCGATTGGATCATTTAACATTCAAAGTTTAACATAATTCGAATGGTTCTTAGAAAATAGACTGTCTCTAGAAGTAGGATTTGTAGACAATGGAAGTGATATTACACTGCATCGTTCCTGATTGTATTCAATTCATACATTCAATTCAACGAAGAATAATTTGAATTTGTAAACTGATGAGAAATAATACTGATTCGGGGAGTTTCAAGATTCACAGATACGAAATACTAATATACGTTAACCGTTTAGAAAAACATTATTTGAAATGTGAATCCATTAAACGAGTTATAATCAATTATTCTAATAAATGAATGCTCCGCCATATCATGAAATTATATTAATAATGTATTAATAATTATACTGATAATATAGAAATAACAGTGAAGTTATATTCATAGCTCAAAAATAATATGCACATAAAACTGTACGGATACTTACGATATTACATACATGTATAAGTAGCGTTCAAAAGTTCTCGGTCAGATCATTTTCGGAGCTTCTTTTACAGAATAAAGACTTTAAGGACTTTTCGTTATTATGACACATAAAGGACATATTGCGTGAGAAGATATTATAAAAAATCAACACCATCTATTCTTCATGCATACTTTTTTAGAAATAAATAATAAATAATAATAAACTTCTGAACACGAAAATTTAATTATTCTTTAAATACACAACTACGAAAACAAAATAGTACGGTTTCTTTGTGATATTCGTCCATGTAAATATGTGCTTATTTATTATATTAACAAAAATTCTTTGAAACTCATCCTATCGTAGAAAAATTCCAGAAACGACCTACCTGAAAACTTTCGAACGCCACTGCACTTATTATATTAAATTATTGTACATACAGAAAATCGACGACTAATTCAATATTACTGATCAAACCTTTAGGATTAGCAGAGCGAAAGCATTTACCGCATTCGCCGTTGCAACGTCTGCAGCCAGCAACTCCATAGACAAAGACTTCGATGGAAGCAATCGCAGTGGATCTTACAAGCTGAAACGGAAGGAATCGCTGCTGTCAACTGCGGCCACGATGCGAGTACTCAACGTTCTGAGACATTGGATCTCGAAACACGCTCAAGACTTCGAAACTGATCAGAAATTGAAAAGTTTAACGATTAGGTTCCTGGAAGACATCATGTACTGTCCACATCTGTTACCTGCTGAACACAAAGCCGCGAACCAACTTCTTCGATTAATCATCAAAGAGGAACAAGAGAGCAGCAAAGTAGATCTTAAGAAGCTCTTGGCTCCACCAACTGTATGTACTTTGAAATTAACAGTAATTCAATATTAACCCCTTGTCATACAATGACGAGTGAGACTCGCGATGAAGGTTTCTAGATTAATTTAACAAAAAACAATGTTGTTCGTTACCCCACAAACTAATTTGCTTTTATCAATGCATTAGCTTCAAATTAAATTTCCGCTTAAAGTAGAATGAAAGGATCTGTTGCTTTTCTTCCAAATTGTCGATAGCAAAATGTTACACGAGCATTGTAGAGAAAGTGAATAATACGTCAAGGGGTTAATGCTGTTAATGTTTGTCTTTATGTTATGTAATGTGTTATGCAATATTGTATTGGCAGCCTGTTACCCAGTTTGAAATTTTCTTATTCGCAGTGTTTTCTGTTCTTGTGAAATAAAATTGCTTTGAATTTGTTTTGAACAGTTCTGTGAATTGTAGTTGACAAATAAAATATTTACGTGGGAATGTTGTCATATGAAAATGTGAATAAATGGGCATTTTGGTTGCCAATGTAAGAGTGAAATTGCAATACTGCTTTGGAAATCTCGATTTTTAAATTTCTCCCTATGAAAACCGCCGTTCGGACGAAAGAAATTAAAAATTGATTGCAATACACTGTTTGTTTTCCTATGAATGTGGAAACATATTTAAGTTATTGATATATTTTTCTCATGTCGTTTCAGACTCCAAGCAAGGAGACGATTGAAACACTCTCAGCGTTAGAAATTGCGGAGCAAATGACATATTTGGACCATAAAATATTCATATCCATTTCGAATGAGTAAGTAATAGATGTTTACGTAACTCTTAGCTTTTTTCATTTAACGAATATCGAATGAGAAATATTTTGGGTATAATGATAAATATTTTCTTCATTTCTCACTGACGAGCATAAACATCTCAACTGAAACTTGAAGAAGTACATTTTGAAAAATTGTGTTTATAAAATACAGAATGAATTTCTGAAGCGAAAACATATTTTGTATAAATATTGATTACATTTAAATATTAAGAAGATATTAATTCGAATTATTATAAAACCCGCGCAGAGAATTCCTTGGACAAGCATGGATGAAAGAAGATAAAGCCACCCGCGCCCCCAATATCCTCCTAATGACAAAAAGATTCAACGAGGTCTCTCAGCTGGTTGTTTCGGAAATCATTCGGCGCTCCAATATGTCGGCAAGAGTCGCGGCGATTGAAAAATGGGCGGCAGTAGCGGACATCAGCAGAGTTTTACATAATTACAACGGAGTGCTACAAATCTGTGCAGCCTTCAGGAATAGTAGCGTTTACAGATTGAAAAAAACCTGGGAAAAGGTTCCGAAACCGGTAAAGAATTCAGTGCAATATTAAATTTTAAGTTGCAATTAAATATTATTGCGAATGTAACATTTATGTGCTACGCAAACGAGATTTAAAAAAAAGAATAAAGAATAGTTATTTAAGCAAAGTTACTTTTTCATAAGTTAGTCTGTATTCTTCCATTTTAATTAATATTGATTAATATAAAATTCTAATAATAACTTGGAAGGAAATAGTTATGTGATGTAGGATTTAATTAATGAATCAATTTACAGACAAGGCAGACTATAGACAAACTTCAAAACATTGTCTCCTCGGATGGACGCTTTAAAAACCTGAGAAATGCTTTACACCGATGTGATCCTCCCTGCATTCCATACTTAGGACTCTACTTAACCGATCTCTCCTTCATAAATGAGGGGACACCAACTATGACCGAAGACGGCCTTTTGAATTTTTCGAAAATGCGAATGGTATATAATTCAATTCTGTGTACAATAATATTTTCGTGTATATTTGATTTAAAACGATAAAACGATTTTAAATGATTCAAGATTTAGCTAAATATAGAATATTTTCATATTCCTTTGTCTGCAGGAGTGCAATCGGCACATAAAAATAATAACAAAATATTACAATGATATTCAATCGTTGACTGTTATTTTTAAGATCTTCTGCATTTTTAAATAATCGATAGATTGTGGTTTACTATGTATCACTATGGTAAATTCGAAAATTCAAAATTGCATAGATGCATGACAACAGAATATACGAAATATCCAAAGTTCAGTGATTTTTATAATATGTTTCAGGAGAAACGATTATCCATCGTAATTCTACTTTTTTAATCGTGATCTGAAAAATTTGAAATTTTCGTAGAAAGATGCAAGATTATACTAACGGTTTTCAATGTTCTTTCTCCAGATTGCTAATGTGATTCGTGAGATACGACAGTTCCAACAGACACCGTACAAGATCGAGCTAATAACGAAAGTGACGAACTACCTGTTGGATCCGTCATTGCTTTTGGATGACAAGGATCTGTACAGCATGTCTTTGGAGATCGAGCCAAGAACATCCAGGCTAAGTAGTTCAACCGTAATTAATCTGCCACCCTCTGTGAGCAATACGCCCACGAAGTAAAATCTAAGTGTCAAGTTACTCGAAATGATTATCAATACGTAATTACTTCTTATACTCAAGCTGTTTTTTTTTTATAATAAT